CAGAGGAACTCTGGAGCTCTGTCAGAGTGACCGTTGGGTTCTTGGTCACCTCCCCTGATTGCCAGCTCTAGGAAGAGTTTTGGTGGTTCCAAACTTCTTCCATTTAAGAATAAAGGAGGCTCCTTTGTTCTTGGGGACCTTCAATGCTGCAGACATTTTTGGTACCATTGCCTCGACACAATCCTGTCTCGGAGCTCTACGGACAATTCCTTCAACCTCATGGCTTGGTTTTTGCCCTGACATGCACTGTCAACTGTAGGACCTTATATAGACAGCTGTGTGCCTTTCCAAATCATGTCCAATCATTTGAATTTACCAAGTTGTAGAAACATCTCAAGGATAATCAATGGAAACAGGATGCACCTGAGCTCAATTTCAAGTCTCATATCAAAGGGTCTGAATACTTATGTAAATAAGGTATTTCTGTTTATTATATTTAATAAATTTGCAAACATTTCTAAAAACCAGTTTTTGGCTTTGTCATTATGGGGTATTGTGTGTAGATTGATGAGGAAAAACATATATTTAATCCATTTTAGAATAAGGCTGTAACGTAACAAAATGTGGAAAAAGTCAAGGGATCTGAACACTTTCCAAATGCACAGTATATAGAAAAGATAATGGAGCCTTATATTTTAACGTACAATCACCTAAATAAAAGCTAGACAGTCAGGGAGAATTGAAAATTTAGCAGTATTGATTTTGTTACTATGTTTTAGCAAAAGAACACAGCATTGGCCATAGCAAATTGCATAGAATTGCAGGAAATGTTCTTTAAAACTGAAACATTTTGTCTCAGCTCCATGGCAGAATTTGCCTGGCTACCCAGACTCCTTGCTCCGGCCAAGCCCTATGCCACGCCCATGGACGTTAGTTTCTTCTCTACAATGAGTCTGGATCTGAGTAGCCAGAACACACGTGGTTAAAGTGGCGGTTTAAAAATGTGTCATGGCTTTGATACTCTGATTGGTTAGAGACGATCCAATCGCTGATGACTTTGCTTTGTACAACGTCCCTCGTCACCACAAACGACTTCAATGATGTCAGTCTCAGACTAAAGTATATAGTGAGCGACAGAGCAGCGGAAGATTTAGTGTGAGTTTTCCTTTGAAACTGCTACATTTTTCTCTCAGCTGCATGGCAAAATATGTAGAATTGCAGGAAATTAGCTTTAAAATGGCAAGTTAATTTCTCAAATTCTGCCACGCCGACAGGATGACCCCCTGCCGTGCCCCTTGCCACACCCACCACCTAAGCCCCCTTTTGATCCAGAAAAAACCCTGGTCTCTGACTCACCTGCTAGTTTAGCTTGAATGATTTTGTGTTTAATGATTCTTTGTTCAGAGCAAGGCAGAATTGTCTATAGATTTATTTTCTTTTTTCATTTTGTTTTGGAGCCAGACTTTAACTAGCTTTTACACCTCATGGTACTTGGGTTAGTTTAATTACGTACAGTGACATTATCTGCAAATCAGTTTGCATAGAGTAACAGACACTTAGCAAAATGAGTTTGTCTCAAGTGTTACCTGTCTCGTATGGTTGATATGACATAAAGAAAGAGCACAGTTTAAATGAGCTATATCCTCTGCCCTAGATCTGTCAGTTGGTGCAGTCAACGTTATCCTGACATTGTGTTCTTTTAACATGGCTGTTATTATCGTCCCTGGAATTTACTTAGCTGCAAAGGTATTTTCAGTTTGTGTTTTCTTTTCTATCTGCATGTTTGTTTTACATATTCCCTAAATGTATTCAGGGAAGGTGGGTGAGGTGGGGGATAGCAACTTATAAACCTCCCCTCCCTGCATTGAGCTGTTCAGGACTGATTGTACCTCCATGTCACTCAAGGCACTGATGATGAAATGGCTATATTGCGCAACACAGACTGATCCTGTGTTGTGTTCCATATCTGGGTTTGTTGTGGATACATCGTTTCTAGGGAAAACTCGATGCAATGAGATGAAAGTGAAGGTTCAAAGGCATTTGTGCTTAGAACTTACATTTACATTTTAGTCATTTAGCAGATGTTCTTATCCAGAATGACTTACATTAATTAGTGCGTTCATCTTAAGATAGCTAGGTGAGACAACATATTACAATCGTAGCAAGTACATTTTCCCAGTTTACAGTCAAAATCAACTATGGTGAAGTAAAGTGTAGCCTATAGATTTCATTGTACTACAAGGTATCAATAGACCAGCTTACCATGCATGCAGATACTTTGTTCAGATATGGTGAGCGGGTAGACTAGACCTGGTGTTTTAGGGCCAGATTGACTAAACTTCTGTCGCAGCTTGTTGGAAGAACACAAATGCCATATGAGAAGGAAGCCTCGTCTCTGTTAGGATACCTGTTCCTCTATGAATCACAACCACCATGACCCCTTACTGATGCTACCTCCACTGCCACAGCTTCTGTTAGCTTACAAGAAGATGATTACTTTATTGTCCAATGTAGCCTAGATGAATGTGAACAGCAATTTGTCTTCTGCTTTATCCCAACCCCTCAGGACATACAAACATACACTGGTTTGGGCAGAGGGCAGCCACAGTGCAGCACTCCTGGAGCAGTTATAGGAGTTAAGCGACTTGCTCAATGTCACAACGGCAGGAGATGGCTTAGCTTGCATATATAATAGAGATGAGTATGGAATGGAAATTGAATAGAAAAGCATCCCCCTGAAGGCTTCAGTGATGAAACGCATAACAAAGAACACATGTTTTATTTTCAATTTCCATTCTCCTCCAAGAGTGGCTGAATATTTCCTGCTAATCCAGTTCTTCAATCCTTGCATTTTGGTTTCTACTGTGAGGTAGTTTTTCCTTTGCTTAGCTTGGAGAGGCAGCTTGGAGGAAAGGCTGAGAACGTTTTCGGAGGAATTACATTGGAATGTCCCCTGCCTGTCTTTGGCTTTCTTTGGCTTCCTGAGCTGTCATGCTGTCCTGATGCACATGAATATGATGCATTGCCTCTGAGACACACACACACACGGCACTTTAGCCCTTTTTCCCACAGAACATGTGCAGTACCTCAAGGTTTCACAGGGTTTCAACCAATATTCACTTCTTAAGCTAAGGTTTAATCGTTGCCAAACTTTCTTAACGTTTTCTCATGAAATATGACAGAGATGCTTTTGGATTTGGTCATTCATCATGGTCGTCATGGTCAATGTCTAGTAATACTGGTTGTTTGCATGTGTATGTTTATGCGTGTGCTTAGTCATGTCTGTGTCAATACAAAACCAGCTGCTCTGGTAACGTTAAATTCAGTTCAAAGTCCTCTTTGACGGGTAACAATAATGTAATACCTGCAAAGCACACCTTAATGAAGAGGGCCAGATGAAAGGGCATGGTCCATACACTCTTCTGGCTGCACTAGAGTTAGCCTATTGACATTAATTTATCTGCAAATGACTGTACAAATACACATCAGGCAGTGTACCAAAGGTGGTTCCATGTATAACGTGTCACGTGCTTTTTGTCGTTTCTCCCTTCCAGACAAATTACTATTTTACTGGCTTACCAGCTGTGTTACGAGACTGCTTTTTAGTGTGTACGTGTCTGTCGGAAAGCACAGCAACTATAGTAACTAACTATTGCCTGTGTGTGTGTGTGTTTAGGTATTTATGCATGTGGGTGTATGTCCTATATGTTAAACTCTGGCGTTCTATAATTGTTGCTTATGAAGATCAGGCAGAGATAAGTGGCAGTCGGAGTGCTGATTTATCTCCTCAGAACAGAACCTCCTGACTGTCTGTCTCAGCCAGATGATGATATGCTCTGATTCATACAATGACAGCATTGTTGCTGATGTCTGTTGTGTATCAGTCCCGCAGTCAAGTGGCACAGGCAGTGTCAACTTGCCCGCTTGATCATGATGGCAGAGTTTGTGTCTCTGCTTGCTCCTGTAATCATACACCAATCGTGTGTGTGTGTGTGTGTGTACAGGTTTCTGGATCAAAAAGGGGCTTAGCTGGTGGGCGTGGTAGGGGGTATGACAGGGGATGTGGTCAGCCTGTTGGCAAGGCTGAATTTTAGATGCCCCTATCGTGGCGGTGTAGAGCAATTTTTGCATTTCTAAGCAAATTTCCTGCAATTCTAGCCTACTACATTTACATTACATTTACGTCATTTAGCAGACGCTCTTATCCAGAGCGACTTACAAATAGGTGCATTCACCTATAGCCAGTGGGATAACCACTTTAGAATTATTATTATTTATTTTTTATATATTTTTTTTGGGGGGGGGGGGGGGGGGGGGGGTAGAAGGAACTACATATACATTGCATTAAAGACTCTGGGCCCTAGTTATAGGCTACCGCTATAGGCTACCTGGTTTGGTCATATTCTCAGGAAAAACCCCTGGCCCTATACATGACACCCAACACAGAAATACAGAACGTTATGCAAGTTTGTTAAAAATCCTCCAACACCCATCTTATAGGAATTCACTAATACAGTGTAGTATCATAGAGATAGCCTGGAGAGCCTGGGTTCAACAACCCACACTGACACTGTTGGATGACATCATTGGGCGGAGAGCAAACATTTTACTGTGACATCACCCAGCTGTTTGTCCATGGTGTGCACTATTACCTCACTGCTTATTAATCACCATGAATCAATCAAACAGCAACATAGACAATACAGGCTGACACTTTAATTGAAGGGTATTGGAAAAACATGTTAAGAACTTTCCTAACTTGTGTAAGGTTAACAAACTTGCATAACGTTCTGTATTTCTGTGTTGGGTGTCATGTATAGGGCCAGGGGTTTTTCCTGAGAATATGACCAAACCAGGTAGCCTATAGCGGTAGCCTATAACTAGGGCCCAGAGTCTTTAATGCAATCTATATGTAGTTCCTTCTACCCCCCCCCCCCCCCCCCCCCCCCCCCCATATATTTCATGTAAAACAGAAATTGTCTACATTTTGATTCTATCATTAACTACTAATGTGTGTGTGTTACAGCCCTTGGCCCTGAGAGTGCTACTAGGAGGCAGAGATGGAAGGTGGAAGTTCGTTCAGCCGAAGGTCGTGGGCGTCACAGTCTTTACGCGTCACTGCCAGGGAGCTCTCATTGGTCAACACGCGAGGCAAGACCAATGCCATCGCAGAGCGCTTCTCCAAGTGAGTGACACAAAACTCTCTACTAAAGACACTTCTGTCTATATGAACAGTAGACACATCTTCCAAATGCATCTTACCAAACACACATCTATCTGTAGGGATTAGGGAATCCTCCATCTCCCAGCTTTAGCAAACTTACCTAGTGAACTAAGCACACGTATCTCTTTGGTGCTCATCTCCAGTATGGACAGTCAGTCAAGTCGGTGTCGGTCAGGCGCCAAAATGAAAGTCAACCCAAACACTTCAGGCTTAAAGCTTTATATAAGTGCTCCCACCCCAAATTCACATACTTAATGGAGAGAGGAAAAGAGAAGGGTTAACTGAGATGTTAGCTGTATATTAAAGAGATCATTCTGACTGTTAATGTTTACCACTCTTTAAAGCAGCAATCAGCAGTTGAAACAATAACAAAGCATTTTCCCCACCACTGTTTTGGTAAAAAGCGGGAGGATGGGGCTGGAGAGCTATAGATGCAAGGACTGATCATCCATGATATCATTAAATATAGTTTTAACAATATTTGTTAGGCTATACAGTGTTTGTTTACAAACATTTGAGTAAAACAAGCTTATATTTTGGGTTTTGATGGGGTACGACAGTTGAACTAAGTTTATAAGTAATATTCTTCAAGAATCAATGAGCTTAGGTGCATCCAATTTCCTTTGATCATCCTTGAGATGTCACTACAATTTGATTGGAGTCCACCTGTGGCCAATTCAATTGTTTGGACATGATTTAGAAAGAAACCCACCTGTCTATATAAGGTCCCACAGTTGTCAGACAGACACTATACCATGAAGTCCAAGGAACTGTCCGTAGATCTCCAAGATAGAATTGTGATGAGGCATATATCTGGGGAAGGGTATAAAACAATTTCTAGAGTGTTGAAAGTTTCCAAGAGCACAGTGGTCTCCATCATTGGGAAATTGAAAAAATGTGTAACTACCCAGACTCTGCCTAGAGCTGGCCGTCCGACCAAACTGAACAACCGTGCAAGAAGGACCTTGGTTAGGAAGGTGACGAAGAACCCAATGACTACTCTGACAGAACTACAGAGTTCCTTGGCTGAGATGGGAGAACCTGCCAGAAAGACAACAGTCTCTATAGCACTTCACCAATCTGGGCTTTATAGGAGAGTGGCCAGACGGAAACCGTTCCTGAGAAAAAGGCACATGACTGCACGCCTGGAGTTTGCAAAAAGGCACGCGAAAGACTCTGAGAACATAAGTCAAAAGATTCTGTGGTCTGATAAGACAAAAATTTTACTCTTTGGCCTGAAAGCAAAGCGGTATGTCTGGAGAAAACCAGGCACAGCTCATTACCCGTCTAACACCATCCCTACCGTGAAGCATGGTGGTGGCAGCATCATGCTATGGGGGATGCTTTTCAGCGCCAGGTACTGGGAGACTGGTAAGGCTAGAGGGAACAATGAATGGAGCCAAATATAGGCAAATCCTTGATGAGAACCTGCTTCAGAGTGCAAATAATAATAATATGCCATTTAGCAGACACTTTTATCCAAAGCGACTTACAGTCATGTGTGCATACATTTGTACGTATGGGTGGTCCCGGGGATCGAACACACTACCCTGGTGTTACAAGCGCCATGCTCTACCAATTGAGGTACAAATGACCTTAGACTGGGGTGAACATTTACGTTCCAACAGACAATGACCCCAAGCATACAGCCAAAGCAACACTGGAATGGGATCAGAACAAGAATGTGAAAGTCCTTGAGTGGCCCAGCCAAAGCCTAGAGTTGAATCCCATTGAAAATGTGTGGAAAGACTTGAAGATTGCTGTTAACCGTCACTCCCCATCTAACTTAACAGAGTTTGAGAAAATCTGCAAGAAAGAATGGGAGAAAATCCAGATGAGCAAAGCTGATAGACATACCCAAGACGACTCAAAGCTATAATTGCCGCCAAAGGTGCTTCTACAAAGTATTGACTTGGGTGTAAATACTTATGTAAATGAGATTTCTGTATTTCATTTTCAATAAATTGGCAAACATTTCTAAGAACACGTTTTCACTTTTTCATTATGGGGTATTGTGTGTAGATGGGTGGGAGAAAATATATTTAATCAATTTTGAATTCAGGCTGTAACAACAAAATGTGGAATAAGTCAAGGAGTATGAATACTTTCTGAAGGCACTGTAGATGAGGGACATAGGCAAATTACAGTTGGCCCAGAACAGAGCAGCACGTCTGGCCCTTAAATGTACACAGGGGGCTAATATCAACAACGTGCATATCAATCTCTCCTGGCTCAAAGTAGAGGAGCGATTGACTGCATCACTACTGGTCTTTGTGAGAGGTATTGATGTGTTAACCAATTGAACAGACAGTTCTGTACTTTTAACACACAGCTCAAACACTCATACATACCCCACAAGACATGCCACCAGAGGTCTCTTCACAGTCCCGAATAGAGGCTAGGAAATGCACACTGCACTATATAGAGCCATGACTACATGGAACTCTCTTCCACTTCAGGTAACTCAAGTTAGCAGTAAAATCCAATAGATTAAACAACACCTCACGGTACAATGCGGACTGTGAAGAGAACCACACGCACACACTCTTACACACACATTCTAAAACACACACTCTACACCCACACACCCACACATTATTCTTAGTAGTGTAGTAATGTAAATTTGTATAATGCACAATGTTTAGAGTAGCTGCTGCCTTGGCAACAGCTAATGGGGATCCTAATAAAATATGTACATGTCCATTTCTCATGTTGCTATGCAAAGTAGATGTTACGTCACCACAATCTTGATATTCCAGTTCGTCATCATTCATCATATTGGGAACAGACTGAAAGTACAACTGTATGAGTTAAGAAAAGGAGAAAAACGTAATGAAGGGTTATGTCATTGGGAGATGAGTATAGCTCAGTCTAGACATAACCCCTAGCCACTAGCCCCTTCCCCTTAGTCCCTAACCCTTTAGTGTGCAGATCCAGAAAAAACTGGATTGGTGTCAGAAAAATGTTAGAAGCCTCACTAAACCTTTTTTATATTGTTTGCACACCTACCTGGTCTCTTCAGACCTGCAAAACCTCTGTAGATATTATTGATTCAACACCAATGCAAACTTCCATTCCCAGCATAATGCCAATGTTGGTAATGCTTTGGTCCATTTTATTGTGTGCACCTCTTCTCTTGATCAGCAGAGGTCAATGTTGCTCCTCTCTCTCTCCAACAGGTACCAGAGAGCTGCTGAGGAGTCTAATGCAGAGAAGAAGAAAGCAGTGAGTATCTCCATTCAGCTCCCCAACAAGAGGCCCACTCATGGAATTACAGGATGTGACATCATTACATCAGACACACAGTCACCAGTTCAATGATACACTTGTGGAGCTGTCCTCTTGGTCAAGACCCTGTCTCTTTGAATCTGTCACCAGTGAACTATATACTAAAGTGTGTATGCCTGAGTGGTTTTGTGCTCTCTGCTCTCTTCTCTGCTTAGGCTACTTATGCTTGACAGTGAGTAAATGGGATAAAGCACTTTATCATTCACATTGTCTGCCTCTTTTTTAGAGGGCCTTTCAAAAACGACCTCCCACACACACATTATTATCCTCATCCCGTCTGAGGAACACACACACCGAGTCCATGCCTAGCTCTGCCTGGCCACTTATTGTGATGGGCAGGCAGTCATGACCCTAATCCTGACTCAGCCAACTAATCCCAAAGTAATTCCCTCTTGGGATAGTTGTCTTTGTCTGTTGGGCAGTGCTGGAGAAGTGGACAAGGGTACAGGGAATAAGTGATCAGCCAATGTCATGCAGGAGTACAAGGTAACTACCATTTCCAATAGCTGATAGATGGGGATTGTATTCTGATCATTGGTTACTTAGCTGCCAGTGAATGCTGTTCCTTCCTGTCTGTGCTGAGTTAAACAGGTTCAGTCAGCACAATGCTGTGTGTGTGTGTGTGTGTGTGTGCGTGCGTGTGTGTGTGTGTGTGTGTGTACCGACAGGCAGGCAACACTGGTGTCAAGGGATGGGCTGTACATTTTCCAAGGGTAATGGAAGGAGGAAGAGCGGTCTCGGCTTTCCTCTGTGTTGCGGTATGGAGCATAGGGGTCAGGAGTTTTACTTTTTCACATATTTTTGGTCCCTACGTTTTTACAGGTCAGGTCAAACAGCAGCAGTGTCATAATGAAGGATTACATGTATATTTGGAGCTGACAGATTACATGGGACTAAAACAATTTAACATGAGACTATGAGATGGCATTTTGGTCCACAAATAAACTGTAAGGAGGCTCCTGTAGTCTTCCTAATATTATGTTGACTATGTGGCATCTCAAACCCCCCCCCCCCTTCAACTGTGACCATTATAAGTAATTGTTCTGTATGTAATTACAGGTATCATTATTTCTACTTAATCACATCTATTATGTTCTCTAACCACAAAAGACACGCAGAAGTTAATGATCATTTTATAGGGGAATGAATGTTCCACTCCGTAAGAGCTATCATGGTGGCTTACTGTACTCTCAATTAATGTGGTCCTCCCTGCTGCTGAGTCAGTCAGATTGAATCACAGTTTGGGTTCTGACCAGGAAGTAAGTGTGTGTGTTCAGTAGCGGTAATGGCTGGAATTAGCCGCCTATAGCAGGAATCTGACTCAGTCACTGACTGAGATGGCTCCATAGGTTAAACAGGACAACATAATGTGTTGTAGTTTACACTGTCTTCTTGAGGACAAAGAATAAGAGTTTGGTTTTGTACAACAACACCGTCAGGAATGTTTTTTTTCAGTTTTGATTTAATATAATATATATTTTTAATTGTTTGTATTTTTGTTAGTCAATTAGCAGACACTCTTATCCAGAGTGACTTACAGGAGCAATTAGGGTTAAGTGCCTTGCTCAAGGGCACATCGACAGATTTTTCACCTAGTCGGCTCGGGGATTAGAACCAGCGACCTATCGGTTACAGGCACAACGCTCTTAACCACTAAGCTACCTGCCGCCCCATTTGAATTTGAATGTCATGATGTGATTTGGCATCACAGATCTCGACACTGACGGCAAGAGGTTCTGCAACATGACACGTTACATGTTAGGTGATGACCTTACATCAGTGCATGGGTATGGCTCTGACATTGGCTCACACAAAAATTGAATCCCTGACCCTTCAGCTGTGTCTGAGCTGGATTTACACAAAAAATAACTACATATATTTAAAATCTTTATTTGGGGATAAACCTCAATAAGAGAAGTTAAAACTCAAGTTTAAAAAAACAGACTCAGTCAGCGAAGAGTTAAACCTTTTCCCAAATGTATCATTTTCTGGTTTCCTGGGGTATTTCCCCCCCCCTCTGCCTCAGTCTCTCTCTCCTGGTCTTGATGGGGGGTGGGCTAGTTCCTACATGCAGAGTTTTTCTAACTGCTAACATCTGGGAGAGCTTGATCACTCTCACTTAGCACAGACTAGAGGGAAGGATTGCAGACTGATTCCAGCTACAGGACTCTCTCTCCCTGCCTGCCACCTCCCCACTACGCCTTGTTTCGTCTCGCTCTCACAGGTTTCACCACTTCTCTTTTCACAAAACGGGGAACAAACTTTTCATTGTCTGCTGCTCCTTTTCTTTTGTACTTATTGTACTCCAGCTGCTCTCACAAAGAGAGTTATTGGGTGTCCTACTGTCTTTGTGTGTTTTCTGTCAGCTTTGGGTTTCTCTCCCTTCTTTCCCTTCGTTCAGTCCTCCCTTCTTCTGCTCTGCTTTTTTTCCATGTGTTTCCATCTAGTTTCTGTCACATCCTTTGTTGGTGGAACATGACTTGATGTATTTTGCAGGTTAGGTTTGTTGGAGTTGCTTGGTTGTGGTGTGTGTGTGGTCAATGCGATGACATTGGGAAGTCATGTCAGCTTTTTATATCTCTCTCAAGTTTGTGTGGACGGCCACTGCTATATGGTTGACCATCACGTTGAAGGGAAAAGTCAGGTTTGTTCTTTGTTAGGGAGTACTGCTTGGGGCTTGTGTTATGGATGTCCTTTTACCACTTAGAATACATATTGTTTCTCTTCTTCATGGGTGTGAACCATGTGATTTAGATGGTTTGTATTGAGTTGGGCTCTGTTTGCCATAGCCCAGTGCGGTTCCATGACAGGAACATCGAGTTCCCCATGTAAACTTAACTTTATTAGTTCATTAGTTGACTCTGTTCTGCTTTCAAAGGGCCATATTGTTTCACATACCTTTCAGAACTTCCCCATATTACACAGACCGTTTACAAGCTGGCATTCATTTCCATATCTTCTAGTGAAAATCAAAGTCATGGACATCACACAGTGGAGTATTGTTGTCCCCTAATAGTTCAGCTTGCTGCTCAGTGTCAGTTATGAGTTGGGAGCTTCATGGATGGTTGAGCCTATATGCCGAGCAGAGAACCCTCCCTGTACCTTCAGGAAAAGATGATGTAGGTTGCCCCAGAATGGAATGCGGTTGGGAAAGAGGTCTCCATGTTCAGTGCAGCTCTCTCTCCATCTTGAGCGAAGACTTTGTCTGCCTCTGTAGAGTTGATTGTGCAGCAGCTGATGGTTGCCTGCTCTGACTTCAGCTACCAGCCAGCTACTGTGACAACATATCCTCTCTCCTGGACCAACTCTGCTTATCTAATTTGTATTTTCTTCCACGTCAGTAACTACTGCTGTCCACAAAGTATTTTCCCACTGTGGCCTCAGTAAGAAAGTTATGAGCTTTTGATTTTTCCTGTGTTATTTCCTGTTCATTTGGTTGCAGTCTGGGTGCTTGGAATTGGATTATATAATACAGGACATGATTGACTGGTAGATGTAGAATGTAGGAAGCAACTGGTGATGAGTATTTAGTTGGTATTTGTTTCGTTCCAGCTTGTTTGGTCATTTGATCCCACACAGTTGAAAAATGAGACTGACTATTTGTATTATTAACTGTTAGAAATTGGTACCGTATTTGTCATACAAGACTACTCCTACACACAATTACCTCTGTACAGTTTATATGGTTAACCTTTCAGTCGATATTACCTTTTTCAGGACAACTTCAAGACATTCTTCCAGTTGACCATTCACTAATCTGCTCTCCTCTCCTCTTCTTCCTGTCAGTCAGTGGAGAGCCTGCCGCCCACCCTGCGTTCAGGGAACCTGAGTGTTCTGAAGAAGCGCTGGGAGCAGCCAGGTCCTCGCCAAGACAGACCCGCCCCGCTATCCGCCGGCCCACCCCGCACCCGCCTCTCCCCCCCTGCCGTACCAAAACCAACCCCCCCGACCGAGCACCTTCCCCCAGCCAAGTCCCCGGGATCCCTGAGCACTCAGGGTGGTCAAAGCACAGCCGTCAGCCGCTTCCAGTATCCAGCAGCAGCAGCTATAGCCGAGGAGGGACAGAGAGGGATGGAGAGGAAAGCGCAGCAGCCAAGCGAGCGAGTGGAGGAGGAAGAGCTGATGCAGGTAGAAGAGAAGGTGGTGCCACCCAGCCCCTGCACACCCATTGAGAAACCCAGCGTGCCTCTCAACAGCCTGAAGATAATGTTTGAGAAGGGAGAGGGCACCAAGGGAAAGGTAAGACTGATAAGACACACATACACTGTGGGTATGTATCCATCTACACAGTATCTCTCCCTCTCTCTCTCCTCTAATGATACTTCTCTCGCTCTGTCGCTTGGCATCTTCCTCAACATGTAGCTGCGCTGTATAGTTGTGGGGTCAGGTCAGTCATCTGTGTGTGTGTGATTGGTTAGCCCCCTGTATCCAGCTGGGATGCAGCTGAACTCCTGATCTGTTGTTGCACAGCCAGACATTTTAATGCTTCCTTTGGACTGTAGTCATGCTAGCAGTCACATGCCTTGGTACCTGATGCACCCGTGCTTTTCAAAAAGGCACACCAAAGACCACTGTCTGTCTCAGTGCACATCACTAAGTACAGACAGAACACCCATTCACTGAGACTTCAACACACACACACACTCACTTAGTGGAGACTTGCTAAAACTAGCTTACCTAATCACACAAGAGGCTCTCAAACGTGCATACACACACTGACTTGACAGAGACACCCCCAGTTGAGAAGTTCAATGCTTTGCGCAAGACACACTCAGAGGGAGGTTCTCCTGTGGCTCCTCAGATATTATCATAGATAAGTCACTCATTAGTGGCCATGTTTAATAGCCCAAGGTCAAGAAGGTACCCACATTCCTCCTTGTCTTTCTTTTCAAAGACCCACCTTTAGAATTCTCCTTCCCTCTTTCCCTCTCTGTGTCCTGTCATTCTCCTTCAGTTAGGTATTCACCCCCCATGGCCCCCAACCTACCTCTCTGTCAGCATCACACAAGATTACACTCCACTTCTGGACACAGCTGCTCCTCCTATTTTTCAGTTTCCTGTTTCCTCTCAAATGTTCTTGTCTTATAAATGTTTAGTAAAACTTTGGGGTGTGACTCTGAGACAATAGTACTTTGTATAAATCATATTACTGTGAGAATAGTGTCTTGTATTCCTGGTGGTCTCTGGTTACCCTGGCTTAGCCAACAGTGTTGAAGCATGGTCCAGGTGGGAGAGCAAGGCTGGGGAGTCCGACTCGTACTGGAGTGAGTCGCTACCACGCTTTGGTGTTCATCTCTTTAAGTGTGTTCATGATGACCACTAGTCTAAGACCTAGGCGTACATGTTGGAATTTCCCCCAGTGTCTCCTTAGGGAGACTGGTCTGAGAACAGTGGTAGTCTTGTAGTCTTTGTTCTCTCAGCCAGTCAGTCAGATGAGGCCTGCCAAAATGGCCATGCTTCTGGACTTGAGGGGAGTGACGGTAGGAGGGCCTCGATTCGTCTTGGTCTGAGAGCTGTGCTTGGTGTGTGTGTGTTTCCTTAATACACATACGCACAAAAGCCTTAATTGCTACCCCAGTGCATTTCAGCTGACTACACCCCGTCTCCAGGTGTACCCACACGGACTTGTGCTCCATCTCACTCACGCACACACACATTAGTGCCCCCCACCCCTCCCCTATAGCTCAGTGCCTGCTCTAGGCTGATGTCATCTTACAGCAGTGATGATGTCATGGGAGTGTTATGCACACGCTCCTTACACCCCAATCACTGGAGGCCTACAAACCCTGCTCCTACAAAACACACACTCCTTTCTCTCTCTGTCTCTCTCTCTCTCTCTCTCTCTCTCTCTCTGTCTCTCTCTCTCTCTCTCTCTCTCTCTCTCTCCCAATCACTGGAGGCCTACAAACCCTGCTCCTACAGAACACACACTTCTCTCTCTCTCTCTCTCTCTCTCTCTCTCTCTCTCTCTCTCTCTCTCTCTCTCTCCAATCAAAAAGTCACAGTACGTTCTCTTGCTCTCTCCTTCCCTCTCTCTCCTTAGTTCTACGCCTCTTTTTCAGTTTTTCTTTCGCTTTATTACCTCACCCTCACCTCAAATGGGCTACACTCATTGTTTCTAGTTCTCTTTTAATCTCTACATTCACCCTTTCTCTTTGTATCTACTGTTTTTCGATCAGCCCTGGGGTGTAAAGGCATCCGCATGCTTCCCATCCGGAACAGTTCGTGCATAATATTATGACGACATTTTGTGTGGTAAGGGTTTTTCCGTCCCTTCGTCGGTGATTGGTCAACAGTAGGGATTTTTCAATAAAGTGTTTGTTGTCATTCAACGAGAGACAACTTGTTTTAATGCACATTTTTTCACCGGGTTCGGCTTGGTGCCAGCCGAACCGAAGCATGCTGACGCCTTAACTGTATGAGCTAGGATGTTGCTATCAGTCCATCTGAATAGCTGTAATGGAGCCTAGGCATAAAAGGTTGAGATGGAACAGATACGGCTGGGCTCTGTTCACTGCCTGGCTGTCCCCTAAATAAACCACCCTATACTGCCACTGGCATTAGTCTTATCTCTATTACCATAGTATTCAAAACATAGGTACCTTTGTTTTTTTTTTGCATAGTTTATATATATGTATTTATTTATTACACCATTATTTTATGATTATAGTTACCTAGTTAGACCTGAAAAACGTAGGAGCTTTAGCCTGTTAAGTTGTGTAGATTTAGGAACATGCTTGTCCTCTCTCTAAAATGACTGATGCCTCTTTGCTTGGTTGTTGTTTTGGTCTATTAGCCCAACATTTAGTTATTGGCACATAGTTTGGATTGCAATGGAATCAGGTGTTTCTTCCTCAAACTGTCCTCCTCAGTAAACTATAGGCCATATCATTCTCCTCTGCTCTTACATAACATATTTTCAAAGACCCACCTTTTGGAATTCTCCTTCCCTCTTTCCCTCTAATTTCTTTACACGGAGGGAGAGTGCATGATGCTCGTGAACTTGCACGTCCAATGTAATGTACGTGGTAACAATGAGTCGAAATCCACGACTTAGCCTAATTATTGTTTTCTGACACATTCATTCATTTTCTTTTGCATGTTTCACATAGCCAGCCCCGCGGAGTCGTGGCGCATAGTAGGCTATTTACTGTGCGTTGATTGACAACTGAACAGCAAGTGTTGATTAGTTTTATAAAAGGTGTCGAACTGACTGAATAAAGTCGATCTCCTATATCCCTTTGTCATTCATAAATCATGCAACGTGGTATATGTCCATGGTATCGCATCGGCATAAGTAAACCAAATGATTTCCTAGGTTTCCTTTCCTAGGATGTCGGGGCCAGAGTATGTGAGTGGAGTTGAGCGGTCGGAAATCCCGCTCTCACTCATGCTAAGAACCGCTCCTCGCTCACAGGAAAAAAAACTGCCGCTCCAAATTCGCTCCATTGATTAAAATCACAATTTAACCAACAACCATCTATTTTTGTGAGTACCTGGACCTACAATTTGGTTTTGAAGCATTGAAACCAAACCATATGATTTGAATGAAAAATATTTGAATAAACATCAGGAAAAGGTGACTAAGAAGCGCTCAACATTTCAAATGGGCTACATGTCGTATTAAACAACGTGACTGACCGGCTCGATTCGGTCTTATGTAGCAAAATTTGAAAAGGTGTTTATTACATTGGATAAAAGTAGAGACTAGAAAATGGTATATCATACACTACAGTTGAGGAACAATGGGAAAGTAATTCTGCTTTGAAAGTTGATCAACTTGTAATCTCACTTTTGAGAAAATTGCCTTTTGAATGTTTTAGTACAGCTACTGAGAGCTCTTCTTTGTCTACACACATTCAGCATCGTTCACACCCTCTTAAGCTTTAGCCCCACCCATCTCTTTAAGGGTTGATCTGAGCGTTCTGTCCTAACAACAGCAGTCAAGCACCCAAGCTAACTGGCTAACATTAGCTAGCTTGCTAGCTACTTCCAGACAAATGAGAGAACAGCTCACTCTGACCATTTTACTCGCCCTAGCAGAGCTGGTTAGGCTGTTTCTATGTTATCCAGAGCATTGGTGGCTGCAACTGTGCTGCTGGCAATAATTTACTCTTTTTTGCCAACGTTTACTGACACCGGTCATATTCAACGGGTGTTGCGCTTTCGTAAATCCGTCAGTTATTCTGCACTCTGGCACACTCAGACGAGAGTGCGCTGAAATCGGAGTAGATAGCCAAAGCGAATTTACTAGCTACGTCTATCAACAGCTGTCGTGTCGCAGTGAAATCATGAACATTTGATTGAAATGGATACTTGCATAGTGGAGTCTTTTGTTTAGACATGTAGCTTGCTAGCTAAACAATTAACCATAATCCCAACTCATGACGTTACTACCCTGCATGAATTTGCAGGTAGCTAACCAAACAGGTTCAATGTTAGCTAGCTAACATTAGGCTATAACTAGCAAAGCAAATGGCTCTGAGATACGAATAATATTACTACACAGATCATACACGTAACGTTAGCTAGCGAGCCAGCCAGCCAGCTAACGTTAGCTAGCTAGCTAACAGTCACTTTAACTTGAAATGAAAATGACTTTCTGACTAAATTAGAAATGTGTAATATCTGAAAATGTAGCTAGCTAGACTATCTTACCAGTGTACATGGATGGACGCTTCTCCCTCTGTCACAGATGCCATGGTTGCCCTTAGTTTGAAGATGTAATCCGGAGACAGGTGTTTTCTCCATCTCCTTAGCTATCATAACCTAATTCCACTGATTTCAAAACTCGGTCCTCCAGAAAGTGGAGAGCAACACTTATGCAGTTCTACTACGCAATATATATTTTTTAAAGCATTAGACAGGATTAGCTACACATGCTGACCAGCTCAAATAGACAGGTGCGTGCTACATGGCAGGCCAATCCAAACTCATCTCTCGGCATGTCCAGCCCACTCATTATCGAGGGCCAATTATGGCTAGCGGGAAGGTTGCTGTCTTTTTCTGTGGCTAAACCAACTAGGCTCGTAATTTAACAATTGTATTCGTATTTACAGATGGCATACAAGTTTGTTATTAAGGTACATGAAAGTTCACATTTATGCAAAAAAACACATTTTTATATATATTTTTAAGTTTACGTTCAAATGGCTCTCCTGTGAAGTAGTGACGTGCGACATACGCCTAGTTTCCTGAAATGAGTCACATATATAAACACTCTAAATAGGTCAGGAGCCAGACAGGTAGCCTAAGAAGGAATGAGAATGAATTATTTAGGCTATAGCCTACAAAGAAATACATTTAAGAAGCATTTGTGAGTGCGACACACTAGGCTGGCAGGGACATTAAGCTCTCAGGAT